GTCTGATGGCTTTTATCTTTCATCTGTGCCACTGTGGCTTCTCTCCGGGTGGTGGAGTGCCAGTAGGGCAACTTCACCTTGCTAACAAGTTCTGTATGTAAGTGAAGTAAGGAATTCCCAAATCTGCTGTGTTTGGTCCTCCCAACCAGACTCGGTGTCTGTGGGGAAGGTGGGTTTTTATCTCGTTAGGTCTGTGGTTCACAGGCACACAAAATACCTGCTTGCTGCAGACCTTCTCACTTCTTAATTGCTGGGCAGGTAGGCAAGTTCCACAGGTGGCACTTCCCCTCCATAGGGGCAGTTCTCTCTCCCCACCAGTTGCCAGGCATCTGGCAGAGTGCAGCTGGTGCAGAGGAGGAAAGAATTCTTCTGAATTGTTGTGGCCCTCACTGACTGGGTGGATGGCAACCCCTGTTATTGCTGGGCATGCCCATGGGAGTTGGGGTGGCTGCTACCTGCTTGTGTCCTAAATGGAATATGACCTCCATTTAGGTTCCCAGATGGCTGCATGTTTCTGTTGTAGCAGGGAGTGGAGAGGGAGAGATAGGCACCATCTTTTTTTTTTTTTTCCATCTGTGGTTGATTGGTCGCCTGCTGTCTGGGGGATTTGCATGAAATACTAAAAGCAGTTAATCAAGCTCTCTCTCCCACTGTATCAGCAGTGCCGTGGTCCCATGGATTCCCCTGTCACCTGGTTTTCTAGGGTGGGTATCTTTCTGCCCAGATCCCAACTTTTGTTGTCTTCTGTTGTGTATTGGCTCTTTCAGCAGGGGTCAGATCACTTCTGCTGCGTTGACAGGGTTTCCCACTGTGGTTCTCCCACAGCTTTATCCTAAGAGTGTACTTTATCTCCTTTTATGAATAATAATTTTGCCCCACATAAATCAGATTGTCCTGTCGCTATTCCACCATCTCGGAACCCTTCAGGATTTCTTAACTGTATACTACATAGATCTTTGTCTCTTATCCTACATATTTTCAAGAAGTTGTGAAATAAAATGATCATTCATAGTTACCACTAATATCATGGTTTCTTCTCTACCTGGACTCTCACTTATTCATAGAGATGAAACACATACTGGATTTTTTATAGATTACCACAGTTGTACTTACATGTCAGTGGAGGAGAACTGACAGAAATGTTACTTTCTCATGGTCATTGAGCCTAAAGAGCATTCTAGAGTTTATTCATCTGCCTCCAGGTGTAACTCCATCTAAACTTTCTGAAATGGATAGTTGTCTCTTAAATCCAGTTAGCTGAAACACTTGAAAGAAAACAATTAACTTGTCAGTTTTCTTTTTATTATTCTATTGTAATGGACACTATGGGGTTGGGAAATGTGTGTTCAAATTTTAAAGGTGTGTATTTATTTGAAAGTCAGAGTTCAGAGAAAGAGAAATCTTCCATTCACTGGTTCACTCCCCAGGTGGCCACAAGTGCAAGCATTAGTCCAAGCCAAAGCCAGGAGCTTCATCCAGGGCCATCTTCTGCTGCTTTTCCCAGGCCATTAGTAGGGAATTGGATTGGAAGTGGAACAGTTGGGACATTAACTGACAACCATATGGGATGTTGGTATTGCAGGTGGCGGCTTTCCCTGCTACATCATAGCGCTGGCCCCAGGAAACCTCTTTCTGATCATGATGAGCAAGTAACTCGAGTGTTAAGAACCTAAATTATTTAGGTCCAATGAATGCTCACAACTTTTGTGTCCCTGAGAACACTGGCTGTGATATCCAGCATCGAGCAGACATTCAGTAAATCATAATTTGCTTCGTAGAGCAGATGTTCAACAAATATATCAGTGACCAGGAAGATCAATGTAGAATGAATTAGCATATTAACAATGAAGCAGACATTTCTACAAGATTTCAAAAATCCTATACCCAGCATCTTGGTAGAATATATTATCCTTCAATATCTAACAGAAATATTGTAAGTTTGTGAGTATCTGGCTATGCTCTGAGATCAGCAGCTAGTAGTTGATCAATCAAATTTAATGGATTCAACTGGTAGGTAACATCAAAGGAAAGCATGAAGGCTTTCACAACTTTTGAGTAGAATTGTCTTCCATATGTTTTGAATCTGGTGTGGTGGTAGCAAGAGGAAGAATGCCATTACCCTGAAGGTTATTTTAGGCCACATAGAATAGTAGTCACATTGAACTCTTCAGTACAGTTATGGAGAATCCATGCATATTTTTTTAAATCTTCTAAGAATGACCAAAGTAAGTTTCAAAAGTCTTGAGTGAAGTGGCAGAATCAAAAAGAGGATTTAAGTTTAATGTGTGTAGGAAAGTGGGCAACGGATCAGTCACCCAGCTGTCCTGTACTGAATCTTCACTCTCCTTGCCCAGTGGCCTCCAGGAAATCTGCTTTATTCTAGAATGAAATGTAACTAGGTTGAACTGTGAGGAAGGATTGGTGAATAGACATTGTTTTGTGAACAGGTCCTTAACTGTGTTTTTGAGGGCAGAGAAGAAGTGCCAGGAAGATGTTAGATGATTTCAATTATCCTTGGAAGGATGGGACAGCATTTCTTGATTCACTCATGCAGATGAAGTAGAATTGCAAAAGTTTTTAAATTCAGACTAGAAATGGTCTGAGGTTGTAGATTCATGCAAGTGGTTGAAACAAAAATGAATAAGACAGACGTGTTTTTTGATGGAGTGGAAATAGTTTAAACCCTTACTTAGCATTTCTGGTAGATTGAACTATATATAAACCAAAGAACTTGAATTTGCTGTTGTGCTTTTGTTTTTATGGCCCCATTCACACCATGATAACTATAATCATACTCTTACTTGGTTGCATATGCACTTCTTTATATGGATGGGTGCAACCCCTACTTCACTGAACATAGGTTGATAGATGAAATACTTTATAGAACAAAAGTCTAGTTAATTTATGCTCTAACAGCTTGGATTTTTTGATAATTTGAACACAAACCAAGCGAAAGTTTAGTTTATCCATGACGCCAGAGTTTGCTGAGCAAGTTAATAGCACAGAGAAGATTCAAGAAGGATATTTAACTATTTAGGAGAAGACACAACTCCAGTCAATTACTGGACATATACCTAATGAGAAACATTTGTAGTGCCAACTGTTAACCTAGTCATTGACTCAGATTGGTTCCAGAGTTATTCAGAATTTTATAATTCAGAAATATTAGTGATTTAAGTATTTTCATCTTTCCCCACTGATTTTGAGTTCATGGAACAAATTCAGGTTGAGTGGACCTGTTGAGTGTACTCTGTAGCCAGAACTGTCTGCAAGAGACTCACTTATATCTAAGAGGCATGAAGATGTTTTTCTTAAACTTTTGCCAATGAGAGTAAGGTGCCTGGATACTTCTTGGTGCTAAGTGAAAGGAATAACCAGATTTGGAAGGAAATAGATTGCTTTACTTAGAGTAATCCATGTATGAAATCCAGTAGACATCAAAGAATATGTATTTGTTACTGGGTTGAAAGTTGCATAGTGCTTCTGCTTCCTTTTTTTGGAAAGATTTATTTATTTATTTGAAAGAGTTACACAGAGAGAGAAGGAAAGGGAAAGAGAGAGAGAAAGAGAGAGAAAGTCTTCCATCTGCTGGTTCACTCCCCAGTTGTCTGCATTGTCTGGAGCTGCAAAGATCCAAAGCCAGGAGCCAGGAGTTTCGTCTGGGTTGCCCATGTGGGTGCAGGAGCCCAAGGACTTGCGCCATTTTCTGCTTTCCCAGGCCATAGCAGAGAGCTGGATCAGAAATGGAGCAGCCGGGACTCAAACTGGCACCGATACTGGATGCCAACACTGGAGGCGGTGGATTTACCTGCTACACCACAGTGTCAGCCCCAACTTCTACTTCCTTATTTGCTTCCTATGGTTGCTTTCTGAGGTCATTCTATGGCAGGAAGATTAGTATATTGTGTTTCCACAGTGTATTGAAAATTTTCCTGGTGTGTCATGATTTCAGTTGAAGTAGGGAAATTAATTGAAATGGAATCCAATATTGCAGTGGGAAGGAGACTTAATGTATAGGCATATAGTTTGAGATGTTTTTTAAAAAATAATTTACTTATTTGAAAGGCAAGAGGGAGGGAAGGAGAGAGAGAGTGAGCGAGCGAGAGCGCAAGAGAGAGCATGCAAGCGATTGATCTTCTGTCCACTGGATCACTCACCAAATGGCCACAACAGCCAGATCTGGGACAGGCCAAAACCAGGAGTCACGAAGTCTGTCAAGGTGTCCTGCATGGGTGGCAGGAACTCAAAACTCAAGTACTGGAGCCACTATTTACTGCCTCCCAGCAAGGAGCTTAACAGGAAGCAGAGTAGCTTGGGCTTGATCTACCACTCCAGTATGGGATGTGAGCACCCCAAATGGTGGCTTAACCCACTACACCATGATGCCTGCTCCCAATTTGAGCTTTAGCCATGCATTTCTCTGATAGTTTAAATAACTTAAAAAGTTTTCTTGATTTGTCCCATAGTAGTCTTGCCTTGGGAATCAATACTGCCCGTGTTCAATTGTGGACAACTCTCAAAAGGTATTTTTTTTTTGACAGACAGAGTGGACAGTGAGAGAGAGAGACAGAGAGAAAGGTCTTCCTTTGCCGTTGGTTCACCCTCCAATGGCTGCCGCGGCCCGCGCGCTGCGGCCGGCGCACCGCGCTGATCCGATGGCAGGAGCCAGGAGCCAGGTGCTTTTCCTGGTCTCCCATGGGGTGCAGGGCCCAAGCACCTGGGCCATCCTTCACTGCACTCCCTGGCCACAGCAGAGGGCTGGCCTGGAAGAGGGGCAACCGGGACAGAATCCGGCGCCCCGACCGGGACTAGAACCCGGTGTGCCGGCGCCGCTAGACGGAGGATTAGCCTAGTAAACCGCGGCGCCGGCCTCTAAAGGTATTTTTCATCACGAATGAGCTATATATCCAGAACCTAAACACATGTAATATAAAAGCAACTAGAAACAGGATAATTCAATGTACAAACTAAAGAGTAATTTCTTGCTGTTGTCTCCATAGGTGAAGTTGAAAAACAAATTGAAACTTCAAGATTGTCAATTATTCAGGAATAATACATTCAGTTGTCAAGAAAACATGGATGCCGTGATGGTACATGGTTTTGTCCAAATGTGGGAGAAGAACAGTGGGATGTCAAAGTCAAAAGAAGCATTCATTGAAACAGTGCCAGGAAGGAAGAAAGATAAACTAGTGATCTATTTCAATGCTGAAAAAATGAGAACTTTCCAGCTAACTGATAACATTAAAAGTGTGGTCCTTAGATCCCGTGAAGATGACCAAAATCACCTGCATTTAACTTTCCAGAACAATAACTTCTTGTTCATTGAAAGATTGTCCTCCTCAGATGCCCAAGAATTGAAGTTATACCTGGACAGAGTCCACCAAAAGAAGCTTGAACCATCCATGAGAGCTCATAAAGACAAGCCTATCTCTATCAGCAAAGCAACACAGCAAGAAATCAGTGAAAGTTCAACTTGCAACATTGCTAAGAATTCCAAAAGTGGATCCCGTGAGACAGCAAAAGGGAGTGTGTCACCTGTCCACCAGAAGATACCTAAAAAGTCAGTACTTAATTGCAAAAAACTATTGGAAGATCAGCATGGGAAGAGGAAAAGGATGTTGTCTGATTCAGAGATAAATGAGAACAAAAGTCTCACGAAAGATCCCACAAGAAAGAAGAAATCCGACAGGAACATCTTGAAGTGCATAAGCCACAGTTTGAAGTTAAAAGAGAATAAGAAATTAGTACTCAATTCTTCATTCATGACCGAGTCTTCTGAAAACCCTTGCCTAAAGGGCAGTGAAATTCTCCAAACTCTCACTGAGGAAATGTTTTTGGCATTTATGTTGAAACAAAAGTACAGTGAGTATTTCCCAGAGTGGGATAAATTAGGGATATCCTTTGACTTTCACCCAGAGAAAATATGGCAAGGCCTCCCCAATTTGGGAAACACCTGTTACATGAATGCAGTTTTGCAGACCCTGTTTTCAATTCCATCGTTTGCTGATGATTTACTCAATCAGCGTTTCCCATGGGGTGGAATTCCTGTTGATGGTCTTAGCACGTGCTTGGCACAGCTGCTCATTTTGAAAGGTATTTATAACGTGAAAGTTAAGGAGAAGTTACTTGTGAATGTTAAAAATGCCATTTCAGCAGTTGCAGAGATATTCTCTGGTGATACACAGAATGATGCTCATGAGTTTTTAGGCCATTGTTTACAACAGGTGAAAGAGAATGTAGTAAATTTAAATACAATGTGGATGAATAAAAATGAATCTGAGGAAGAAAATTCATCTCAGGATGAGTTTGCTAGTAGTAGTGCCAGCAAAATGCCTGCTTGTCCTGTCATCACCAATTTTGAGTTGGAGTTGCTGTGCTCCATTATCTGTAAGGGTTGTGGTCAGTTTGTTATAAAGATGGAACCAAGTAATTATCTTTCCATCAACCTTCCTCAAGGAAAGAAAATGTTTCCTGTATCCATTCAGTCTACTTTGAATAATTTCTTTTCAGCAGAAGAGCTTGAATACAAATGTGGGAAGTGTCAGCACAAGAGATCTGTTGCATTTCACAAATTTAATAGGCTACCCAGAGTCCTTATCATTCATCTGAAACGCTATAGCTTTAATGACTATTGGTCGATAAGGAAGGATGACCAAGAAGTCATTATTTCCAAATATTTAAAATTGTCTGCTCATTGCAATCTAAACACCAAACCACCATTTCCCTTGAGCAAGAATACACATCCGAGGGAGTTGCAAATTTTAAAAATTTTTCAAACAGTTAATTCTGGAATAATCAGCTCACCACCTTCAAAGAATTCGGCATCCGATTTGAAGAAGTCTCTGGATCTACCCGTTGCATCATACGATGAGTCTAACAAATTCCAGAGAATCTTTAAAGGGTCGAAAAAAGGAAAGAAGCAAAATGACCTTGGAAAAGACTCTAAATTGAATACGGTAGAGGCAGAATTTGTAAACCCAGGAGATAAGACACTTCGTGAAAAACAACCATTAGCTGGCTCAGTGAGGCATTTAGGAGACACCTCTCTTTCTCTGAATCGCAAAGGTAGAGGTAAACACACCACAAACCCATATACTCGTCTTGAAGCTCTTCTTCAAAAACTGACTGAAAATCGAAAACTACAGGTGTATGGGAAAACCAGTGTGCCTGTGGAATTAGATTCTGATGGTGTCACCAAGACTAAAGATTCTTATGAAAATAAAAAGCACACGATTCAAGAAGGATCCCCAAAAGTGGCTAACCATATCCAGAAGTGTGCTGGGGTGAGAATTTATAAACAAGCTTCTCAACAGGTACCTCCTCAAAGCCTTCCAAAGTCAAAAGCCCAGAAACAAGCAGAGAACCTCACAAGATCTACAGAATTCAGTTTCCAGGCAGTTAGTGCGAATCATGTAAGTGCATTGGGTTCCAATACGAACCCCGGAAACAAAGGCATCTTTGGTGAGAAGAAGATGGACTCTAAAGCCCAGGAGCCAAAAATAAATACCGATAAAGCAAATCATACCTATCGTCTCATTGGTGTTGTCAGCCATCTTGGGTCATCCCCAGATTCAGGTCATTATATCAGTGATGCCTACGACTTTGAAAGGCAAGCCTGGTTCACTTACAATGATCTGCATGTGCAAAGTATCCAAGAGGCCCCGATGCTGAATTCTAGGGCTTGTACCGGATATGTCTTCTTTTACATGCATAATGATATCTTTGAAGAGCTGTTGAAAAGGGAGAAGAACTCCCAGCTTCCCTGCACTGGGGCAAGAAAGACCCCTCAGAAGAAATAACAGGAACAAACCCCTCACTGCACAGATCTGCTTGACTTGCTCACTATATCTCTACCTTGGAAGGAAAAATCTAAACTGTCTCCAGAGAAGAAAAGAGGTGATTTTTCCAAGACCACAGTTCAAGCAGAAATACAGGAAAATCTCTATTGAAGCCCTGACGCAGACACGTCAAGAATGAACATTCTTCTCTCCTGCTAGATCAGGACTGTGATTTCCATCTTTTAATGCAGTCATTTTGGAATTGTGCTTCCCAAACATCAGAAGCATTGAGGAACCCATTGAAAATGAAAAATGAAAATCTTGGGTTCCACTGAAGATCTACTGACTCAGAAACTTGGGGTTGGGAGGTAGCAATCTGACGGAGACCAATGCCTGATAAAGTTTAAGAATCACAAAGTGTGTAGAGTACATTGGTGTATTTTGTTGTTGAATTTCTTATGTTAAAGGTTTTGATTACATTTTATATATTTTTATGTTCATATATGCTTTTCCTTTGTGAGATTATTAATACCAAATCCTCACTCTTTGCTGATAGTACTCAGCAATTTGGTCAATAAAAAGTTGCTGAGGGCCGGCGCCGCGGCTCACTAGGCTAATCCTCCACCTTGCGGCGCCGGCACACGGGGTTCTAGTCCTGGTCGGGGTGCCGGATTCTGTCCCGGTTGCCCCTCTTCCAGGCCAGCTCTCTGCTGTGGACCGGGAGTGCAGTGGAGGATGGCCCAGGTGCTTGGGCCCTGCACCCCATGGGAGACCAGGAAAAGCACCTGGCTCCTGGCTCCTGCCATCGGATCAGCGCGGTGCGCCGGCCGCAGCGCGCCAGCCGTGGCAGCCATTGGAGGGTGAACCAACGGCAAAGGAAGACCTTTCTCTCTGTCTCTCTCTCTCACTGTCCACTCTGCCTGTCAAAAAAAAAATTAAAAAAAAAATTTGCTGGAATCCTGGAAACTGTGTCCAACCAGATTTTAGCAATACATATTAAATGAGGTTGATAACTTTTCAATCCTCTTGGTCATATTTAGGTGATACTGAACATCAAATCAAGTCTCCAGATTGGCTGAACTGTTCTTTTTCCTCAATACCAAATGAGCAATCATCTTGAAGATGGAAAAGTTGATTTGCTTTCAAGAAATCGGTCCACTTTTCCTATATGCTAGCAAGTTGTTGGGCCTTGGTGGTCTGAGCCCACCTTGCCATCTTGGTTTTCCTTAGAAGGGTGCTTGAATTCCTTGTAGGATCTTTGCTTACCAGGACTTTATCTGTGAAACATTGAACAATTCTTTTGAAAAAACATTGCAAGACTAATTCCCAATTTCTTTTATATCTCTGTTTTATAGTGTGATGGCCTCGTTTCTTTAATGAGTAAATAATACATCCTTTAAGTACCTGTAGTATTTGGAAGTCTTACTTGTTAGTAATCTTATAGAACATCAGAAATACCTGTATTGTAAATGTTTTGCTTTTAGTACAATTTGCATGTATACTGGGGTGCTCCTATTCTATAGAAATTGAACAATAATTCTGATGCCAAACATGTACCCATCTCTGTAGCAGTCTTTTATTGCCTTTGAAGCAGTAAATTTGTAGTGCCTTGCCACCTTTTTATGAACAAGTGATTGGTATGAATCAGCTTTATTACAGCATATACAGGGATTGATTTTCAGTCCCACCTTTATGAGCATAAGTGTCCCTCATTTGTATACCTGTATTCAAATGGAAGAGATTTTGATCCTCTCAATCTTAGGTTCCTTTAAAGAGCTGTATTGTTTCCAAGGGGAGAACTATATTCCAAAGTTTGAGGTTTCTTCTCTTGTTCAGAACAGAGTATCAAGAACGAGGTCTGAATGAGACCTGGAGTTAGCATAGATATATAGGGGGGGTGTCCTAGGTCGAACTAATTGCTTCTGTGGAAGAAACTGCACAATAGTGAGAGAATGTACAACTTCTGTATACTTCAGCAGCTGCAGTAGCATTTAGAGTATAGGAGAAATATTTTGTTAAAAGTTCAGGCGTTTAAGCTATTCAGAATAGTTAATTCTGAGCCCCTTACATACCTCAGAACAGCATGCTGTTTTGGTAAGAGTGAAGGAGTTGCTAGTTCTTAAAAGGGTATGAAGACACCAATAGCTAACTTTTTTTTAGTGGTATGGAATTGTACATCCTTGATGTGCTCCTCTGTATGTGGTACCTTCAGATACAGGGCAAACTGAAAGGTGAAGATGATGTCAGGGTATCTAAGGGAGGATCTTTGGTGGAATCCATCATTGTCCTGTGAGAAAATTCTTGGGTGCACAATAAGCAATTGTATGTTACCTACATGTTAATTTGTTTTTTCAAATAAAAGAATAGAAGAATTCTTAAGTGGCTGTTGGCTGTTTATTGTGGGTATAAATTCATTCTCTTATCAGGTTTTCAGTTGAATACATGGAGATAAAAACTTGACACTCTTAATTTTCTGTTGCCTCTGTAACAAATTACTACAAACAATACAGCACAATTCTATTTTGTAGTTTTGGAAATTAGGAGTCCAAAGTGGCTATTAGTGGGCTTAAACAAAGGTGACAGCCCGGCTGCCATCCTGGATTCTTTAAGAATACAATCTATGCGTTTGCTTTTTTCAGCTTTTGGAGGCTTCCCGCTATTTCTTGGCTCATGCCTTCTTTCCTCCATATTCATAGCAGTGTTGAGCAGACACAACAAAAAAGGTTCAGGGCTCAGACCCATGGGAAACAAACACTTGGGTCACTCCACCACGTAAAGAACTCAAAGTTGCTGAAGTTTTAGCAGAGGTTGAAGGGATATTGCCATTAGTAATTGAAGCACTCAGACCTTGAGGCCAATTAATTAGAGAAATAAGGACCACAGCTGCTTTGCATAATATGCATTCATTTGTATTTGCCTGTTATTCTAATTTTTTCTATCCTTGTTCCTATTTTCAATTACATATATGTAGAAACATGTGTATAGGTATAAATAGCATGTTTTATTAGAGGTTAACTTTACTTTTTATTAGGTGACAGAGTAGTCCATGGGAGACTGGGTTTGAAGAATAAGTTGCCGGTGCCGCGGCTCACTAGGCTAATCCTCCCCCTGCGGCGCCGGCACACCGGGTTCTAGTCCCGGTTGGGGCGCCCGATTCTGTCCCGGTTGCCTCTCTTCCAGGCCAGCTCTCTGCTGTGGCCAGGGAGTGCAGTGGAGGATGGCCCAAGTCCTTGGGCCCTGCACTCCATGGGAGACCAGGAGAAGCACCTGGCTCCTGCCATCGGATCAGCGCGGTGCGCCGGCTGCCGCGCGCCAGCTGCGGCGGCCATTGGAGGGTGAACCAACGGCAAAGGAAGACTTTTCTGTCTGTCTCTCTCACTGTCCACCCTGCCTGTCAAAAAAATAAAATAAAAGAAGAATAAGTGAACCCATAATGGGTGCAAACCTGAAATTTTGGGTCATCAATTTTTGGGGAAGAATATTTTGCTTATAAAAAGGATTAATGTATCTTGTTAGGTAGAAATTGAGTTATTAATGTTTGCTACAAGGGAGTTCAAATTATTGTAAAGGGTAGCTGAATAACCAAAGGGGTAGACAGCCAGATTATCAGTGTAGTTCCTCAGCTTCAAGTTCACCTTTCAATATGTGTTCAATTAAAATAGAATTTCTTTAGGTAACCTCTTTATAGTAAATACATTGTGAACTTCCCAATTCATGTTGAGTTAATAGCACGGCTGTAATTATATCTGGGTGGTGCAGTGGCCCAGCCATGAATGCAGAATATGTGGTCTCTTATTCCCTTACCTTCAGCATGAGCTTGTGATCACATTCTGCTGCTATATCCACACAGATAGCATATTCACTTGACCCTGACCTGTACCAGTGCTCTTGACTCCCTCTGCCCTTGTGTCATTCCCAGGTTCATATTTTGTAATTCTAACTCCCAGCTCCCCAGACAGGAATATGGTACTCGCCAGACCTATTGTCATACTGGCACTCCCAGTTCCTCCATATGACTAGTATCTGGAAGGTTACCACTGCGAACTCCAATATATCTACATGCCCATTGACAGACTTGCTGACATCCTGACTGTACTCTCCTTGCTGTCCAGATTTGTTTTTTGTTTGTCCAGTAACTGCAGATCAGGTCTGGCTCAAACTACAAAACTTCATTGCCATTAATAGATTGCATCTGTACCTTCAACAAGGTCTGTGGGCTGGCGCTGTGACATAACTGGTTAAACCTCTGCCTGTGAGGCTGGCATCCCATATGGGCACTGGTTCAAGTCCTGGATGCTCTTGCTTCCAATCAGCTCCCTGCTTGATGCACCTGGGAAAGCATCAGATGGCCCAAGTGCTTGGACCCCTGCATCCACATGGGAGACCCTGAGGAAGCTCCGGGCTCCTGTCTTTGGCCTGATGCAGCTGTGGCCGTTGCAGCCATTTGGGGAGTGAACCAGTGAATGGAAGATCTCTCTGCCCCTCCTCTCTCTGCCTTTCAAATATAAAAAGCCTGAACCTTAGCATTGTGGATCAGGGCCCTTTCCAAATTTTTCCTTCCTTGAGCCCTAGGATGCAATACAGATTTTTCTTTTATCTTGTGGCTATAGTATAGTATTTATGTTAAACTCCTTTTTAAGTAATTTCTGTCTCCTGGTAGGACCCAGGATGATAGACAAGGCTGAGTATAGGCAGTAGTCTAGCTATAATAGTATAAACGAAGGAGTTTGAATTTATTTGAGAGACTGAGTCATAGCAAGCAAGCACATAAGAGTGCCCATCTTCTGTTCCATTCACCAAATTTCTAGGAACTCAATCCCAATCTGATGGGAGCGGGGGGCAGGGACTTGTACTTGAGATATCACCTGCTACCTTTGAGAGTGAAGATGAGCAGGAAGCTGGAATCAGAAGAGCTGAGCAGGGACTCGAAACCAGGATCTCACAAATCCAAAGATTTTAATGTAGAATCTTTTGTTTTGATTTTACTGAGTATTGTTTTCTGATGGAAAGCATTGCAAAGATTTCTGGATTCAGAGTAAAAATATTCCAGTTAAATATGTAACCTCTTGGAAAGGTTGGCTGAGATTCCAAACAGTCACCTCTTGCATACATCATCTGTTATGTGGATAACAGTATGGATTACTGATGGTTTATGAGGTCATTGAAGTTCAGACAGGTTCACATGGCACTGACAAGAATTTGGGACATCACTATAGTATATATGCTCACCTATCAATTTAGTTAAACTTCTCTGTTTTGACCCCACCCAGGAAAAATATCTTGAAAGATAATTCTTAGAAAAATCTGTTTCTGTAGCCTAACAGAGTGGTTTATTTCCCACAACAGACATCTGTAAGTCTCATACCTGAGATTACCAATATATGAGGAAGAGCTGACTTATAGCTTAGAATAATTTAGTCAATACATTAGCATATTTTCTAGATTTTGTGGCAGAAATATAGCCAGGATCCTCTTTATAACTTAATGAGTGCTTACCAGGGAAATGGAACCAACACAGGTATGCATGCATACCTGTGTGTGATGACTCCTTGCATGCATGGATTTCATTTTCTGCATCAAAAGGTTCATTAAAATGTTTATTTTTTTTCATCTACTTGGAAGGCAGAGAATAAACTTTTTTCCCATTGCTTCACACTCCTAATTGCCTGCAACAGCCAGGACTGGGCCAGGTCAAAATCAGGAGCCCAGGACTCAATCCAGATCTGCCATGTGGGTGACAAGGACCCAAACATTTGAGCAATCTTTCTGGCCCCCAGGACATGTGAACTGGAAGCAGAAAAGCTAGGGTAACAACCAGGTACTCCAATATGTGATATGGGCTTCCCAAGCAGTGGCTTAGCCCATTGTGCCACAATGCCAAGCCATAGACGTCTTTTAATACCATTTTCCATGAACTTTTGTAAGTACCTTGTGTATCTGGGTGGACAGAGAGATTTGAGTGATTGACTCATGTGCGTTGGCATCAGTTTGATGGTTACCCAATGTGTCAATTTGGGCTAAGCGATGCTCAGATGACTAAAACATTTCTGGACATGTCAGGGTGTTTCTGCAGTAGATTAAAATTTGAATCAGTGGACTGAGTAGAGAAGATCACTTCACCAATGCATTTGGGCAACATCCAATTCATTGAGGACCCGAACAGAGCAGAAAGATGCAGGAAGGGCAAATTTACTCTGTGGTTGGACTGGATTACAAATCTGTGCTTGCTCCTGGTTGTTGGGCCTTATTACTTGAACAGAGACTTAGACCATTGGTTCCTGGGCCTTTGGGTTTGGTCTGGAACTATGCCATTGCCTTTCCTGGGTTTCCAGCTTGTAGATTGTAAGACTTCTCAGCCTTCATAATCATGTAAACCAATCACTCATGATAAGTCTTTCTGTGTCTCTCTCTCTACCCTATCAGTACTGTTCCTCTGCAGAACCTTGACTAATAAATATGGCAAGTTTGAATTTTGTAGGACAAGCTGGCTGAATAAATTGAAGCAGAAGACAGTGTTGCAGTCTTGAGTGAAAATGTAAGGCAGACCAACACACTGGAAACTCCTGTAGACTCAAAACAAGAATGCTGGCCACAGCAGAGAGCTGCGGCGCCGGCCCGGCCCCTCTTTCTAAATATTTTATTTATTTATTTGAGAGAGAAATGATAGAGGCCAGCACCGCGGCTCACTAGGCCAATCCTCCGCCTAGCGGCGCCGGCACACCGGGTTCTAGTCCCGGTTGGGGCGCCGGATTCTGTCCCGGTTGCCCCTCTTCCAGGCCAGCCCTCTGCTGTGGCCAGGGAGTGCAGTGGAGGATGGCCCAAGTGCTTGGGCCCTGCACCCCATGGGAGACCAGGAAAAGCACCTGGCTCCTGGTTCCTGCCATCGGATCAGCGCGGTGCGCCGGCCGCAGCGGCGCCGGCCGTGGCGGCCATTGGAGGGTGAACCAACGGCAAAGGAAGACCTTTTCTCTCTGTCTCTCTCTCTCTCACTGTCCACCTCTGCCTGTTCAAAAAAAAAAAAAAAAAAATCCCCCCCTCCCCTCCTTAAAAACCAGGTAAAAACCACTTTTTAAAATTGGGGTTTCTCTCTCCAAAATATTAATCTGAATGCTTAAATTTGGGTCTGCACAACTTTCTGGCTTCAACAGACCCTTTTTCAGTAGGGTTTAGGCAACCGGGAGTGGGTAAGGGAATTTAGCCCCACAGATCTGCAAACAGCTCTCAGGGAAGCACACTGGTTCTTAAAGAAACCTGGCATCCTCGGCTCTCTCGGGCTCCTGGCCCCACCCAACAACATCTGGAAAGAAAAGGGATGTCAGCCCAACGGTCCAAAATTAACTTATGGCACAGTGGGGGCTAAA